AATGTAAAATAAATCATCTCTGTCTTAAAGACATATCTCGCCGGGTATATTCAAGTCAGGCATTTTATTCCTTAGGCATTGCCTCGCTAATGTCCCACGTACGCTGAGGCTGAGGATGCTTGAATCTCAAAATCTGATATTATCCTAGCAGCACAGCTCTGGACGGGGTATAGAGCAGCTGCCCATCATTTGATTTAGACACGTCAATTAAAGCTATTACTCAATTTATTATTTATTTGTGGGCGATTTATTTATTTATGGACCTTTCCAATGCGATTGGCCCTCGGCCCGCTCGCTTCATATTTTGGGCACAGGCAATGTGTCGCTAGGGAATTGAGTCCGCACGGACATTTACAACAGGGGCGGTAGGGGCAAAAAAAAAAAAAAAAAGTAAAAAATTGAATCCATTGTGAATGCTGCCTGCATTATATTTTGAGCCTCGTTGAGCTACCATGAAGATAGATTAATGATGGGGCTAAGCATTCAACTGGAAATAGATTTCAGCATGTGCTTATGCATATGCTTCTTACTGACCCACAGCACGCACACACATACACACTCATTCTTATTAATCGCCCGAGTCCCCTGGCTGTAGCTTACCCAAATCACAGTGCGACTTGACTTGGTCCAATCCTTTGCGACCCTATCACATTTATAAATAGCAACAAGTGCTCGCCCCTCGCCACGTATTTAAATCATATACAAATGTTTTGTTGACTCGTCTGGTGGGTTTATTGAACCCCAAATGGGTTCCCATCTATCGTTGAGAGTGTTTTTGTTTTCTTATACAACAAAAACAGGTTTTCATATGTCGATTTGCTGTTAGAATTCAGCTAATTACGCTTCGGTTATTCATTGATAGAGTTCATATTATTATATACATAAATATTTATGTGAATATTATAGAATTCTCTTAATTAATTAATTTACGAGTTAATAAAACATTTTAGAGTAACTTGATATTAATATTTTACCTATTAGAAAAAAAAATCATAATTTATAGAATCAGCTCATTATGATATTCACTTATTTAATAATGAAAAATAAATATATATTATTAAAAATAAAAATTAAACTAATTATACTTTTTTTTTTTTTTTTTTTTTTATTGTTTTTATCACAAATCACCAACAGAATACCTCTACCATCATGAACACTACTATACATACATATACATGTTCTTATTTGTGCGATATAACTTTTGTAGAACTTTTAATTTTTCACATACTTTAAACACACTTCACTAGCTGCTGAACCCAATACGAAAATGTTATTTGCCTCTATGTGAGAGGCACGCTCTATCAAACTTGCTTTAAATAGTTTTCCAGCTTTTAAAGGGAATTTCACACTCCGAGCTGGGTGCGTGTGTGCCTGTGTGTGTGTGTGGGTGAGTCAGTCTCGCAGGGCATACGTATATATGCATGTGTATGTGTGTGAGCGGCAAGGGACTACAATGGGCATGCACAGCATCATTATCATCTTAATTATCAGCATCGTTATAAGGGCGCATATAGTTCGTATTGTCGCCATCTGCCAGAACCAGCATGTGACTACTTTTCTGCACTTAGAAACTTTTTAGCCACACACATACACACACATTGACAAGCCAAATGTCGAACATAAAAAGTTGTTTATAAGTGCTCGACTAGCAAATACTATGTAAATTTAAGTTGAGCTTATATGTGAAGGGAGAAGTGAGAGGAGAATAGGAGGAATGAAAGGAGAAGAGTATGAACATTTTAGTTATAAGTGAAGGGAGAATGTGAGAGGACTATGAAAAGAGAGAAGGAGTGAGAGAAGAGAGAGAGAGAGAGAGAGAGAGAGAGAGAGCCTGTATATATATATTTATATACATATATGTTGTATATAGTATATACGTATAAATCCCATATAAACTCTGTCAGCTTTAAGTTTATTTAAAATATTCAAAGTGCTCTTTCTTAATAAGATATTTGTATATATAATTTTATATCTACAATAAATTAATATCGTTTCTATTATAAAATTTCTAGAAACTATATTTCATAGCACAAAAATCCCTCCAAATATTAACTCATTGTTTCAGTGCAGCATAGCCCGTTGCAAGAGGGTTTCAATGCGGCCCATGTTGGCTAGTTGCAACAGATCGACATGGCTGCAATAAGGACATAAAGACATTTCACATCAACGCCATTGTCGCAAATCGTTTGAGTTTAGCAAGCAATTCTCATAATTTTACCACATTCTGCATCCGTTCGTAATTTGTAGCGCTTTGTGAGGCAAACAGCTTGAGTGCCGACATTCACAGTGCTGTAAATACATATGCACATACAGACATACATATGTGCATGTATTTGGATATGCATGTGGGTGGCGTGTGTTTGGGCTGAGCCCGCACCTTGAATTCCCGCCAGCTGCCTGACAACTATGAAGGCAGCGACAGCGACTGCGACTGCGGCAGCGACTGCGGCAGCGACAGCAGCTTCGTTTGTGCAATTAGAATTCAAACCGTATAAAGAACAAACTGCGCTTTTTATGTCAGCCAAAAAAAAAAAAAAAAGAAGGCAGTTGCATAAAAGCCAAAGACGCCTTGGGCCACATGCATTCACATAGTCATTCATTCATTCCTTCAGTCAGTCAGTCAGTCAGTCAGTCAGTCAGTCATTCACACTCGTTGTGTCGCCAGCGCCGGTTTCAGTTTCAGGCTGTGCTCATTCATTAGATAGCCATGGAGGCCGACTCGTAAATAAAACTGTATGCCGCATCGGATTAGTAGCTGAAATGAATAGCTGCAGCTGCAGCTGCAGCAACCTCTGCCCCAGTCCCAGCCCCAATCTCAGCTTTAGCTTCAGCCTCAGCCTCAGTAGTATTCTCGGTCTCGGTCTCAGCTTTTGCTTACAGGTTTTTGGCCACAGCCTGTGCTGCTTTCGCTTCGTGTGCATTTTACGAGCAGCCCCAATCTCCAAAAGGCAGCTCGACATAAAAACTATGACAAAGGTGGGCGTTGAGCTCTGGCTGCCACAGCTACAGCTCCTGAAACTCCTGCAGCTCCTGCTACTGCTCCTGCTGCTGCTGCTCTTGGCTGTTAGCTTCTCAGTCAGTTTTATGAATGCTCACCGATTTGCTGCTGACAATCTGTCCGCTGGCGTTGTCTCCCAACAAAGCCGGCCGTAGAGACCAGCGAGCTATTCGCACAGAGCTGCCGTGCTGAATGGCTCGCAAGCAAGTATGGAGCAGATGGACTTTTGTCTGCCGGGTTTCATAATGTCGTGTTTAGGCCAGCAAATGATATTCTCAAGGCATTTCCTAATTGAATAGTGTGGCTGACAAATTTCAGCTTGGCTTTGACTCTGGAACAGTCAGATTCAAATGCCATCTCTCTCTCTCTCTCTCTCTCTCTCTCTCTCTCTGTGTGTCTCTTTCTTTGCAACTGCCTCATGCCTCATGCCCAATGCTAATTATATGCATCTCTAAACATCTGCAGCCACAGAATGCAGCAAGTGCAACGACAAATCAGCTTTAGATTTTGAAATATGAATACCACTAAAAGATATATACATGCATACATATATATATAATATTTAGTCATGCAATGCAATGGCATATTTTGTCAACACGAATGACCCAATTTATGTGAAATGAATTTGTTTTCCTACCGAAATGACTGCTCATCTAATTTGTGCTGTTATTATTATTTGATTATACTGTTTACATAACGGAACCATGCATTCAATTCGCTGTAATAATATTATTATAAAAGGGTAAAAGTCAATGAGCTTGATGCCAACTTGACAGCCACCTGTCTTAGGCCTGTCAGGCAACTCAACGAAATTCATTTGAAGCTATTCAACTATTTACATTCATTTAACAGCTTGTCTGGAATTTTCGCCTGAAGGCATCTGGCTCAGATACCTCAATGATGGAATCATAGACAGCAGACACTATCTACTCACTTTAGCCTTTAGTCTCAAGTCCCCAGACTTCTGTTTAATGCCTAGACATTATTGTCCCTCTCTAATCTCTCTAGGCTTTGCAAGCTCTCGAACATCCTTAGAGCCTCTCCGCATCACTAGTCTCTATAGTCCCTGTAGTCTATCAGGTTTTAGGTTTGCTCTAGTCTCTCTTTGGTCTATCACTAGTCTCGCTTTAGTCTTTCTGTAATACTTCTCTGGTATCTCTCCAGACTCTCTCTTTTTAGTCCTTTTCTAATCTCTCCGTAGTCTCTTCTCCATAGTCTTTCTGTAATTTGTCTTTATTCACCTTCCAAATTTTCTCCAATTTCCCTCTCTGGTCTTTCTATCTGGTCTCTCTCTTTCTCTCTCTCTCTCTCTCTCTCTCTCTCTCTCTCTCTGGTCACTTTTTAGTCTTTCCTTGGTATTCCTCTGGTCTTTGCTTGGGGTCTGTGATATTTCTGTGGTCTTTCTCTGGTCTCTCTCCCTGGCCTCTGTTTAGTCTTTCTCTGGTCTTTCCCTTGTGTCTCTGGTCTCTCTCTGGTGTTTCTCGTGTCTGTCTCTTAAAATGTTTTTAGTCCTCCCCTAATCTTATTAGTCATTTGCTACTCTCTCTTTCTTTGATCTTTCCACAGTTTCTCTAGTTTGTCAAGTGTCTCTAGTCCTTGTAGTCTCTCTCCAGTCTCTCTATAGAGCATTTCTATTTTCTCTCTAGTTTTTTCCAGTCAATCTGTAGCTTTCCTTTAGCTTCTTTTCAGGTCCGTCTCTTTCTAGTCTCTATAGTGTCTATCTCATTTTTCTTTAAGCCTGCTCCTTCTTGTCTAGCCTCTCGCTAGTCTCTCTCTAGCTTCCTCTCTACTTTCCTCCTCTAATCTCCCTCCCTAACCACCACAAGGAGTAGTTTCTGTCTGCTACAAATTTAGGCCTCTTCCATAATATCACATTAGAAATTTTGTGGGGTGCTGGCAAAAGCAATTTATGGTTTTTTGATTAATTGAATTGAAAAGTTGCCAAAAAAAAATGAGAGAGAACAAAGAAAGGAAAAGGATACAAAACACACATTGAAAGTGCATGGGTAACATGTAGGCGTTTTTATGGAAATATTTGAAATAATTTTTATTATATTTGCTTGCTCAAATCGAATTTGAAGTCTGAGTCGAAGCTGATGCCAATACTAATTCTGATGCTGATGCTGATGCTGATGGTGATGCTGATGCGGGCGTAATGTGAGCAATTGATGATGTGAATCGTTGTTGAGTTGGTGTCTTATATTTGTTGCTGTTGTATTTGGAGCCTGAGTTGCTGTCTCGATGTCTTTTGATCTGTTTTGGTCTGGTAAATTGTGTTACGGAGCACAGCACAGCCAAAAATGATTGTGAAACGGGAGCCAGGTCAGCTGCGGCTCTAGCAGGGAGAGCAGCATTCAATGGCAATTGTTACAATTTGATTTGGCGCAACCGAAGCCTGGCGCTTGAGCGCTGCATAGCGAAAAGCCCCTTAAGTCCATGACTCTGTGGCAACTGCGGCAACTGTGCCACTGGAGCAGATCCAGCTGCACACGTGCAGCTATTTGATGTCACTTTACCATGCCATGCCATGCCATGCCATGCCATGCTGACGACAAACTCACCATTCTTCCATTCTTATACTCATCCTCATCCGTTTCCTTCGCCTTATGCTCCTCCGGCTCGAGCTCATCCTCTTTGCGCTCACATTTACGCCCTCGTTTTCAGCTAGCATTCAGTTTGCATTGATGTTACTGGCTGCGACACCATCATCCTTATGGCCTTCATCATCATCGTCGTTATCATCATCATCATCATCAGCTGATGCTGTGCCAACTTTAGCTGCAAAAATGTCCTCCAGTGTGGCCATAGTTGATGGCTTCGTTCGGTTTTGGCTCCGACTCTGACTTTGGCTCTGCAATTGTAGCATTTTCATTTTTTGCTCACAGCCAAGGAAGCGACACAGTGCTTGAACCACCGTGGCAGCCACTTACCACTGCCGGCAGACGGACATTAGCCACTGTTTGACCTTTGGCTGTGCCACTGCTGCTGCTGCTGTTGCTGCTGCTGCTGCTGGCCATGGCTGGAGCATCTGGATGCTGCTCGAGCTGCTCATCGTTACGCTCTGGCACGCTTATTGAATTTCGCTTAGCTGCTGGCGTTGACTGCATGCCTGCCACATCATGGGGCACGTCAAGGCTGCGCGGCAGCAGCGGCTGCTCGCCGGATAATGTGTCTGCGTTTTGGGTATCAAATTTTACACTCGGTTGCACACGAGGACCCTCTCCCTCCCCCACACAGTCAGGGGGAGGGTCACAGTAATTCGCATTACTTACGCATATCCACATGGTAGCCCCGATCGTCTGCGCTGTAAAAGACGGTCGAGTATTGGGCATTGGGCAGCGGCACCGAGTAGTAGCCCCGACGCGCCAGCACCGTGCGGCCCGAGCCCAGGTGCAGCCAATAGGTGCGCTCGTAGCGCGTGTCGCCGTTGCTCAGCCGATATCTGGCGGGAGTATATGGAGTATATCAATTAAATGGACCGAGACAGGGGCGAACTCAATAACCTGTACTCGTGCTCGCCACTCAGAGCGCGTTGATCGAAGCTCTCAATCGGGCCGTCGATGGCTGTCGCGGGCTGCGGCTTGGGTTCCCGCTGTGGGGCAAGCAGCGGTGGCCAGTGGTGCACATGCTGATGTCGGTCAACTGCTGGCATAGCTGTGGTGCTGCCGCGTCTGGGTGGAGCTGTCCAGCGCGTCTCGCCGGCGCACAAACTGACTTCCAGCAGCAGCAGCAGCAGCAGCGATAGCAACAGCAACAGCTGCTGCTGCAGGCACATTTCGATTCGCTTTGGGGTACGCAACATTCTCGCTTAGCTACGGACTTAATAATTGATTACTGGGCCAGACGACTGTCGGCCTTATATACCACTCGAGAGCGAAGCCTTTTTTTGTTTGGCCAAAGAGCGATGAGAACAAGAAGAAGACGATGGAGAGAGAGAGAGAAGGAGAAAACATAATAAACTCGCATGTCAGTGGCAACGATTTGGCTGACACTCGTCCCCACAACTTTAATCCCCGAAATCCTCCGACACCCACGCCCAGCTCCTGACATTGACAGCGCGCCTGGGACTTTGTGTTTTTGATTTCATCTTCAGCTTCAGCTTCAAATTCGAATCTGAATCCGAATCCGAATCCAAGTCCGAGCTGTGTGCTTTTTGTGCCGCCAGCGGCTGTAATATGTGTCAGGCACAGGCACAGCTTGACCAGGACAGAGAGAGAGAGAGAGAGAGAGAAGTAGAGGCAGAGTCACGGTTCATTGACCAGACCCCTGCATCAGCGGCTCGCATCATTCCAACAGCTGCCGCTGTCCATTGAGTCTGAGTCCAAAATATGTGGGCGTCCATTTCTTTCAGCAGTCACTCCTTCTGCTTCGACATCTTTTCTTTTCATGTCTCTTCTCTTCTTTTCTCCTTTTCCTTTTCGTTTTCCGAATGTTGTGCTTAACACTTGGCCATGTCCTTGACAATGAGCACAGCGGCGCGGCAGCTCCTCGACGGCTGCTTGATAAATGTCTGGCGACTGCCGCACTTAATGCTGCCTCAATCATCTTCATTGCTCGTGTTATCGATGGCCATTGTATTTAATCGTTGACTGAACTGAAAAAGGCGTTTGCAAGTAACTGAATTTCTTTTTTATTTTTCATATACATATACATACATATATGTATTTTTATACATATGTATTCTTGCTTTGTTTTGGCTTGCCATCTGAAGTGCCGACAAAAATAACTAAATGATTGTGATTGTGATATGTATAAAATTAGAAATTATATGGATATATATATTTCAAGTGAGTTTTGCTATGATTGGGTAAGGACAATTAGAGCTATATAGCATTTATTGAAATATATATTTTTATAAAAATAATTTGCATTTGTCGTATATTAGAAATTATAGTGATGCTTGTCTTGATTGCATAACGAGACCTACAGTCAGTCACAAAAGTATTCATATTTAGGGGTCCCCTATATATATGCTTATTTTTGCTCGATATATAACAATGTAATGTAATCTATGTAACTAATTTTTATAACATATTTTTTTTTTATATCTTTAAAGTGTTTTTTGGAACGATTGAAGAAAGATATAAATCTTCTTGCTGTGTAAATTTTAATTTTCATAAACGTTTTTATTTGAATTCGTGATAAATTAAATTAATACAAATTAAATAAGCTAGTCTATTTTATTTATGTTTTTAATGTTATATTAACTTTAATTATAATTATTGTTATTATTATTATTTTTATTTATTTATTATTTTTTATTTATTTATTTTTTGGTTTTGTGATGTCTCGTGTTTAATAAGAAATTATATTCAAGCTTGTTTTTATTTATGACGTGAACTTTGGAATGATTAGAATATTTAAATATAGAAGTGAGTAACTTTTTTTTTTAGTTTTGTATAAATTTTGTTTATAAACATTTTTTTATATTTATAAAAGAGAATAATGTAATATTTTTATTTTTTTATGTATGATTTTTTTTTATACATTTAGAAGTAATTTGTATTTATAATTTGAATTCCTAGCAACTTCAACAAGAGTACTAAATAAGTTTTCATACAAGAGCCTACGGAGCCTACTTCAATATCGAGACAAAAACAAGATGAAAATGTAGCCGTACAGTAAATGGTACATATATTCTCTTGAGTTTTTTTGCCCGGAGTTTTGAGCCGTAACCACTCAGGTAAGATAGGTGGCCTTTGTGCAGTACGTCAATAGACTTGGCGACATTTTTCGATTGACCTGTATTCCTCCATTCCTAATTGATGCCAGCATTCCTTTGTATACAAGTATTTCATTTTTAATTGCAAGTTTGTTAGTGGACTTGAGTAGCTAACAAAGCATTCTCTTCGCCTTCTTGTACACATTCAGGAAGTTAAACAATATATGGATTCTGTGCAATGTCCGTCCGTTCGTTCGTTTGCCGCAATTGAAGCTAAAGTCTTGAAAGCTTTAGTTGGAATGTGCATACATATGTATGTTTATATATATGTGCACATCATTATGATGATGATCATAATAAACATGTTGTACCTTTAATTATGATATCGAGCATTGCATCAAGAGAGCAAACCAAGGAGAACGAGGCGTATGATAATTTTCTAGTCGTGTGATATACAGTGCGTAACAATAATATTAATTTATATGAATTTATATAAAACATATAATATTAATTGAAATAAAAAAAAAATCTTTCCGATGAGGTATATATCAATATACTACGTATTTTCAACATAACTAACAAAGATTAGGAAAAAATGTTGACAAATAAAAAAACCAAATATTAATGATACTCACTGTACTCATAAGCAGCGAGGCTTAAGCTCGAGAGAGTTGCTTCTACTTTTCCATAATTATTGTTCGATCAAGCTCAAGATGAAGCACCAATAGGGAGACTTGATTCGAGAGATTAGAGTATTTAGTCTGAGTATGAAAAGAAAAGCCATACTAACTAACTTTGCCTTCTGAGTATAATTAAATAGAAGAGAATAGACTGGAGTTTGGCTGCATCAAAATAATTCCATTCTCCGTTATACACATGCTTATATACATATAATAAATACTTAATATTTGAATATGATTTACAAATTTAGAAATCATAAAGAAATTAATGTGAGTTGAATATGAATGCATTGTCTAACTGTTAAGCTGATTGAATAACAACTGGCGCTCTAATCACTCTCAAAAGTCTCTAATTTTGCAATTGAAATCTGAATGAAATTGATTGAGTTAGGCTCTAATTGTTTCCACTAAGTGGCTTTCGTCATAAATAATTGATTGGCATAATTAGGCCAAAGGAATTTTCAACTATGCACAGCTTAAATGTTGTAAATGTTGAGTGGAGCAAGTGCGTGCTGCTCAAGCATTACACCTGACGGAGCAGCCTTCCACTCGCTCCCGCTTCCCCCTTCCTCGATCTCTCTCTCTCTCTCTCTCTCTCTCACTCTCTGTCTCTCTCTGTTGCGTGGGTGTCAAGTGGCACAGCTCGCTGGGCAAGTCGCTGGCCATTAAGCGACTGCAATTAGCAGTTAACAGGCAGACGCGCCAGACCCTTGGCCAGATTTAAGTCCGCTTGTCAAACTAAAAGCACAATTAATAAATTTAAGCGTTTATTTCCCAGCATTTTGACAGCTGGCTGTCCCGTTAGGTCGCCAAGATGAAGCACACTCAGTTAGGGCTTTTAATGCGGCTCACTTGACCAGAACAGAGAGGAGCAGTCACAGCAATAATAACCATCAAAAAAAGGGAGCATGCGACTGCATAATACTCGCTTAGGGATATTTTTTGATAAGGGCGATATAATAGAAAAATCAATCATCGCAGATTGCAATGTGGAAATTGATGAGCTTAGCTCTATAGAGGAAAGGGTATTGGATCTATATATATTGGACGTGCCTAAAAGGGGATAGATATATATGATCTATGATTATGTTGACCTATGACCTATCATAGATCAACATTTATGATGCTCTCTGATGATCTGAGAAGTCTATGTGGATTTATTATAATCTATTATGATATATGATAATGGGCTATAATGATCTAAGATTAAGGCGCTCTGTAGAGCTGTTAAGATTTATCGATGCCACGATCGATAGTATCGATTGCCAAAATTATAAGTTTTTTTTTTTTTTTTTTTTTTTTTTTAATATGTTTCCAAATCGTCTAACTTAGCTGATATTTAACTCAATAAAAAAATTATTTTTTATATTTAAACAAATTTATTGAAGATAAATAATATTACGTATACGTATATTGTTCTCAAGTGAGTTAATATTAAAGAAAATATAGTTTGTCGCAATGAAAAGATATGAAAACAAAATAATATTGGCTTTAAAACGATCTCAGTGATTTATCGAGCTTTTCAACTTTGCGCATGTTTATTTATAGTAAATGAAACTTCTGTCTCGTTTTTCATAATTTTGATGGAAAGAACTTTTGCATATGCATAAGAGCTGATGAATTCATCAAAGGGGCCACCGATGGGAGTGACACCCGCGTGGAGCCACTGTCAATAACTTTGCAGCTCCAGGGCACAGCAGTTGAGCAGATTTAGATGACATATTAGCAATTTCAAATCTCTGGCCTTTCACACACAGACTTTGCACAAAACTCATATACTCGCTTCAGTTCAGAGAGCGAGAATTACAAGATTCGCGAGAATGTAAATGCAGCACCATAAAAAATGAATTGAAATGGCGATGTGGCCGCCAACTGCAGCTGCAAATCCGTTGTCGACACACATACAAACACACACACACACACATACACACAGGCAGACACTCTTCACACATACTTCTACGCAAAACAACAAACTAATAAATATTTTTACCCATATAAGCATAAAATATTGTTTCAAGTTTGGTGTGCGGCCGTATACAGAAGAGAGATCCATAGCTGGGACAGCTGCCTAGCACCCATATACACACAGACACACTCTCTCTCTCTCGCTCCCCCTTTCCCTCTCTTTGGGCACAGCGAAATGGAAACTCAGCTTGTTTGTGCGCTGCCATTTTGCACAATATTTCATTTGCCAGCATTTCCGTGCAGCGTTCCCCAGCAGCCAAGCAGCAGAGCAGAGAGACCTAAACCTAAACCTAAACCAAAACTAAAACTAAAAAAAAAAGAGAGAAGAAAGAAAAAAGACAAGAGAAAAAACCTCGAATCCAACCCCTCGACACCAGTCGCTGGCCAGCAGCCCCACGTTGGCATGTGCAAGTGTCTGGGCCATGAATTTATATTGGTCGATTTCGATTTGAAAGTATTTCGGTTAGATAATCTCAGCATTTTTATCGCATTCCATGCCATGTCGACACACTGTTTGATC